ATGGTGGCTAACAACAGGTGATTGTGAGACACCTGACATGGATGCTAAGAACCAAATTCCAGTCCTCTGGAAGAGCAGGAAGCACTATTAACCACTGAGCTGTCTCTTCTGCCCCTACAGAAATTTTAAAATGAATTTTCTTGGGACTGGAGAGATGACTCAGCAGTTAAAAGCTGTTCTCATAGAGGACCTGAGTTCAGTTCCCAGCACCCACATGGTGGCTAACAACCATCCTTAATTCAAGTTCCAGGGGATTTGATGCCCTATTCCGGCCTCTGGAGCATTGCATGCATGGGTATACTTACAGACATGCAGGCAAAACACTCATAGATAAAATAAAAATAAAGCTGGGTGTGGCGGCACACACCTTAGATCCCAGCATTTGGGAGGCAGAGGCAGGCAGATCTTTGTGAGTTCGAGACCAGCCTGTTATACAAAGCGGGTTCCAGGCCAGCTGGGACTAGAGGTAGACCCTGTCTTAGACAAAATTTTAAATTATATGCCTTCGTCAGTTGAGTGCAGGTGCTCATGGAGGCAGGAGGCATTGGACCATGGAGCTAGAGTTACAGGTGGTTGTGAGCTACCCTTCGTGGGTTCTGGGAACAGAGCATTAAGACCTCTGCAAGAGTAGCACTTAATCTCAAAGGCTGAGCCATCTCTCCAGCCCCTGGAGATGGGTTTTAACAAATGCTTCCAGAGAGTCCATTTCTCCCAGGGATGGGAACTCTGACTAGCAACACTAACATTGAAAACACTAGGGAACCAGTTAGCAAATTAGCATTTCAAAGTCCTCCCTGGTGACCTAACCGCTGGAAACTCAGCTCTACTCTTCCTTTGTAACCCTAACCTTCCTAGAAGACAGTTCACACAGAGGCAAATTTACTTTGTTAGTAACTGTGGAGAAATATTAACATATCAAACACCCTTAGAAGAGAGCATTTGTCTTTAACTTTCCTTTTCAGCTATCAAAAATGCTGAACAGGTACAATCAGGTGGACGTTTTGCTTGTTTTGGAACTAGGAATTGAACTCAGGGCCTCACCTACGGTTAAGTACCTGCTCTACCACTGAGCTTACACCCCTAACCCCATCATCCTCCACCCATGCCTGTTTTTTTGCTGTTTTCTTTTCTTTCTTTTTTTTTTTCTTTTTTGAGACAGGTTTCCCTGTAGCCCCAACTGTCCTGGAACTCACTATGTAGACCAGGCTGGCCTTGAACTCACAGAGATCCGCCTGAGGCGTGTGCCACAACACCCAGCTTGGTTTGTCTTTTTAGAGTCTTGCTTTTTCCAGCCTAGTGCCAAATCTAAAGTGATTCTCTGAACTCTTCTATCTTCCAAGGAGCTGGGACACAGATTTGTGCTACCATAGCCAGCAAGAGCCACAGCTTAACATTTTTTAAGTTTATAAGTCAGGTATGGTGGCGAACGCCTTTGATCCCAGCACTTGGGAGGCAGAGGCAGGTGCATCTTTGTGAGTTCGAGGCCAGCCTGGTCTACATAGTGAGTTCCAGGACAGTTGGGGCTACAGGGAAACCTGTCTCAAAAAAGAAAAAAAAGAAAACAGCAAAAAAACAAGGAGACCCTGTCTCAAAAAAAGACAAAGAAAAAAATTTTTTTAAAAGTTTATTACTTTTATTTTTTTGTGCCGGAAGGCATGTATGTATGGGGGGAGGGGGCTCAGAGGACAGTCTACAGGAGCTCTTTCACACCTTCCACCAACTGGGTCTCCAGGGATCAAACTTAGGTTGCCAAGCTTGGTAGCAAGTGCCTTTACCCAATGAGCCATCTTGCCAGCCCCATATTAAAAAGTAATAATTAGGGGCTGGGCCCGGGTTTGATTCTCAGCACCCACATGGCGGCTATGAAATGTCCTTAACTCCAGTTCCAAGGGAATCTGAAGCCCTCTTCTGACCTCTGCAGCATTGCAGGACATGGGTGCACTCACATGCAGGCAATACACTCATACACATAAAATAAAAATAATAAAATATTTAAAAAAAAGAAAAAAGTGATAATAATCTTTCTTTTCCAAGCCTTGGCTAAAGAGTCATTTTTTTTCTTTCATATTTCTATTTCATAATATGAAGGTAGAAAGCCCTTCTACACACTACTGAGGCTAGCCCTCCACTAAAAATATAAGAAGAGCCGGGCGGGTGGCCCACACTTTTAATTCCAGCATTTGGGAGGCAGAGACAGGCAGATCTCTGAGTTTGAGGCCAGCCTAATCTACATAGTGAGTTCCAGGCCAGCTGGGGCTACAGGGAGACCCTGTCTCAACTCAAAAAGACAAAGAAAAAAAAATTTTAAAAAAGAGGAGGAGGAGGAGGAGAAAATTACTTATAATTTGAAAGTTGTTGCTGGAGAGATGGCTCAGCATTTAAGAGCACTGGCTGTTCTTGAAGAAGACCCAGGTTCGAATCCCAGCACCCACATGGCTAACAACCATCCATAACTCCAGTTCCAGGAACCCAATGCCCTCGTTTGTCCTCCCTGGGCATTGCATGACATGGGTGCACTTATATACATGCAGGCAATACACTCATATATATAAAGTAAAAGTAAATAAATCTGGGGCTGGAGAGATGATTCAGCAGTTAAGAGCATTGACTGCTCTTACAGAGGACCCAGGTTTGATTCCCAGCACCTACACGGTAGCTAACAACTGTCTGTAACTCCAGTTCCAGTGGATGCAATGCCCTCTTCTGACCTCTGCTGGCACTGCATGACATGGGTGCACTTACATACATGCAGGCAATACACATAAAATAATAAAAGTAATAAAACAGTAAAAATATTTGTGGCTGGCCACACCCTACATATCTATAATCTCTGCCTGAGGCTGACTGTGCTTGAATTACAAGCTTTGACTGATTCTAAGGGATGGCATAATTGTTTAATTGTTTTAGTGTTCCTCCACCCCACCACCACTCCTGGCTAGTGTTCTTTTTTATTATTACATTTACTAATTTATTTGGGGGATGGGCTCATGCCACATTGTGTGTGTGGAAGTCAGAAGATAAAGAGTTGGTTCTCTCCTCCCACCATGTGGGTCCCAGGGATCAAACTCAGTCCTTAGGCTTTCACTTTGAGCATCTTTACTGATCTCACTGGCCTGTTTTCAAATTCTTTGTTTTGCTTTGAGACAGGTTCTTTGTAGCTCTGGCTAGCCTGGAACTCACTCTTAGACCAGGTTGGCCTCAAACTCACAGAGGTATGCCTGCCTCTGCCTCTTTGGGAACTAAAAGTGTGGGCTATCACGCCTGGCCCTTTTGGTATTCTTAAGGAATACTAGAAATATCTCCTTCAAGCAACAAGAACTTCCCTAATTTTTCCTTTTGAATGTGTTTTCCTTTTTCTACAAACTTAGGGAGCCACTCATACCAAATAGGTCCACATTGCTCTTGCCTCTAGCATCATCTTCCTAAGAAACTAGGTTTTTCATCACCCTGAGATCTGGCAATATCCAGAGGGTCTTAGACACTGTATTCCCCAACTCCCACAAGAACACCTGTGCAAAATATCTGTACAACATCTGTACAAAAAGCATGAATGTAAAGACAACTGTGCCCAATTTTAATGAATTCACGGCTTTGCTGTGAATCAGTACAGGATTACCAAAATAATTCTCAGCTGTTTTGACTTTAAAAATTATACTTTTAATTAGAGAATATTGTTAGGATAATACAGATGTAGATAGACATGAGCATCGACCAGCACCTTAAGGGAAACTGCTTTACACTCTGACTTCTTCATCCACTCTCTACAACCATAGCAAACAGTGTTTGGAGTATGTGCAGAAACAGCCAGGGGCTTGTGAACAGAAGGCATGCAAGAAGCATTAGCGAAGGGCGTCAGATGCGTGACTTCTACACCACGTTCAGCAGAGCAAATGGGGCAGGAAGAGGTGCAGACTCCACTGGCACAGCCACTGCCTTTTCAGTCACCCAGCTGGACTGTACCTGTGTGGAGGGATGGGCAGGCAATCAGAGGCCTTTTCTGGAGCCCCTCACCTCTGAGAAGCCAAAAGCACCAATGGGAAGACCAGCATAACCTTTACAGGAGGTGAGGATGGGGCAAGAGGAGGGGGAGGGGGAGCAATGTAGTTGGGTCACAGATGTGCTGTCTTCTAGGGCCACTCACAAGCAATCACTTGTGGTGGCTCAAGGAAGCAACAGGAGAATGCTCAATCCATTAAAACCATCAGCTACACTGATACAGAAGACACATTTGAGTTTAGTTATCAAGAATATGTAAGTTACCCAACAATTATAATATGAACAGAAGTCCCATAGTGGGTTAGTTTTGTACAGAATAGAA